GAGACTCTTATCTCCAATTAACCACTAAAAAGCTGGAAGTGGAGCTGTGGCTTAGGTGGTAGAGCTTTGAGCATAAAAACTTAGGGACAGTGCCAAGGCCCTAAGTTCAAGCTCCAGACTGGCAAACAACAACAACTTTATACTCTCCAGGTAAATATAAACCCTTAGCAGACTGCACGAAGAGTGGTTCAGAAGACCTCCTGATTAGAAATGGAGATGCCATCCAATTTCTCCCTAAGGATGCTGACAATAGATGGTAGGTATGTATGCAGTACCTTAATGACGTCAGGTTGGTGCAAAGGAGAAACTAAACAATCTGTATGTAAAGTCTTGAACAGCAGTGATACCACAGCGATGCCTTTCATTTCCACTGCTTCAGCTCACGTCTCTGATAGCTCACTGGAAGGGACACTAACCTTTGGTAAGTGAATGATGCTTTGAAAGAATCAAATGCTCTGAGTTTGCATGGTGTTTTGTCATTCACCTTTGGCTTATGTGATTTAGTGGATACATCTTGTCCATTTTATTCATCACATATCTATGAGTGTGCAGTAAGTGCTCAGGACTGTGCTTTACCACTTTGGGCTGTAACCACAACTCGCTATATCAGTTCAAATATTGACTCTGATGTATCAATCCATACTTATACACCAGTTGCAGAGGTGCCTCTGCCTTTATAGTATTTGTGAGAAAATAATGAAGCAGGAAGAAAGCATTGTTTGGAAACAGATTGAAAGGAGCTTCCATAATTCTTTCAGAAATTTAATATAAAATAATTTTGTTTTCACTGTGTCAATTGTTTCAATTGAAATACTGCATCAACCATGTACTCTAACCATAAACTCTGCATGATGGTAAAAATTAATGATGAATAATTACAGTATTAACCATTTTTCTTTTCTTTATTTTTATTATCCTTTATTTGTCAAATATGACACTGGCATAGAACAAGAACCTCTTTGCACTTACAAATAAAGATATAAGCGTATTAATATGTCCGTTAGGGTTTAATTTTTCCTTTAGTAGTCTTGTATCTGTGAATAAACATGTTATATTTGTAAAACATGTTACACTTATCTCTAATAGGTTGATTGGAGTGAAAGAGTTTTCAGATAGTGTGATGTCCTGTAAGAGATCCTTCAGTATAGATATTGAGGAAAATCTGTTGTAAAACCAGCCTTATAGCTTGGCGCTGGTGGCTCACACCTGTAATCCTAGCTACTCAGGAGGCTGAGATCTGAGGATCACAGTTCAAAGCCAGCCTAGGCAGTAAAGTCTGTGAGACTCTTATCTCCAGTTAACCACCAGAAAACCAGAGTGGTGCTGTAGCTCAAGTGGTAGAACACTCACCTTGAACTGAAGAGCTCATGGACAGTGCCCAGGCCCAGAGTTCAAGACCCACGAATGAGAACAAAAACAACCCCCCCAAAAAAAAACACCCTATTGTCCAAAAAATTGCTTTAAGAGTGTTAGATTTTTTACTTTTTTCTAAGAATGTGGTATTGCTATATGGTGTGTTTCTTCTTCATGTACATATGTACACATATACAGGACTGCAGCCAAGAATTATGTAAGAGGTAGAATGAATCAATGGGAAGTAAGATGATGTTCATTTCTACTCTCCATACCTTTAGTATAGAAAATTTTTATGCAAACAGTTTGTGTCCTTATAGATCTTTCTCCTCAGTTACCTATCTATGAAAACACAGCACAATTGGGTGCTGGTGGCTCACGCCTGTAATCCTAGCTACTCAGGAGGATGAGATCTGAGAATCATGGTTCAAAGCCAGCCAAGTCAGTGAAAGTCCACGAGAATCTTATCTCCATTTAACTACCAGAAAGCCCTAAGTAGAGCTGTGGCTTAAGTGTAGAGTTCTAGCCTTGGGCCCAGAGTTCAAGTCCCAGGATCAGCACACACACACACACACACAAACACACACACACACACACCACACCACACCACACACATATGCATGCACACATACACACCACAGAAAAAGAACATAATCAATATGAAATACAAGTTTTGGCCTTGTGTTTGAATTCCAGGTAATGGCAAACTATTTCTAAATGAATCTAACAGGCCAGGATCACTTTGTTTACAAGTATCATAAATGGAGCCAAAAGTAAAGATGCATTGAACTAAGGCTGACTGAAGGATTTACATATTGGGTCATAGAAAACCCAAGATATTCTAACTGGGTCATCTCTTGAAGTAATTGTTTGGTTGGATTACTTAGTAGTGAATTATTTAGGCTGTTTTGCCAACAAAGAGAAATTACTCACATATCTCTATGCTTAGCAACTTTTACACCATAATTTTTAAGAGTATATTGAGGGGTTGGGGATTTAGCTCAGTGGAAGAGCCTTTGTCTGCTAAGTACAAGGCCCTGAGTTCAGTCCTCAGCTCTGCCAAAACAAGAGAGTAGTTGATTGATAGACTATATACTGCTACATACTGTTTCATAAAACAAGTCTTAAAAAATTCAAAAAGATTGGTTCGTATAGTTTCAGAAATAAATATGTCCAAGTATTTGAATATCAAAGAATATCAATCTAAACTGCATATAGGATTAAAAAAGCAGAAGAGAATTTAGAGTGGTTTCAAATTGGATGAAAAAGAAAACAACATTTTTGTGGCTATAGTTAAAGAGAGAAGGAAATGTATAGCTTTAATTACTCACTTTACATACTTAAAATCAGTGTAATTCACCATATTAACATAATGAAGGGGAAAATTATGTATAGTCAGTTCAATAGATGCAGAAAAGCAATTGGCAGAACTCTACCCTCATTATAAAAGCTCTCAGCAAACTAGAAATAAAGACAATTTCTTCAGCCTATTGCTAAGATAAAAAAAAACACACATGAAGAATCACCCGATATCATACTTATTGGGAAATGTTGGCAGAGTTTCCTCTAAGATTGGAAGCAAGCCAAGAATAGTCATTCTAACCATTTGCATTCAGCTTATATTGGAATTTTTAGCCAATGCCAAAACTGAAGGAAAAATTTAAAGAAAAGGCAACAGTGCCATGATTCAGGTTATGTACAAGGGTTATATACCCTTATATATAAGGGTCTATGCTTAATAAGACACTATTAGGACAAGTAAGTGCATTTCACAAGATGATATTATAGAAAATCATTACAAATATATTGAAATTCGATGTCTTCGCAATAAGGAACATTCAGAAGTCAACATTTATGTTAACAGCCTATAATGCAGATAGATGTACAAGGGTATGATAGTGGAAACTACAAACATTTACTGTAATCTATATAAGACGAACTAAAAAAAGATGTAACATGCTTATAGTTTGTATATTTCAATGTTAAGAACTCCATCTTCAATGGATTTACCTATAAAATCAATGCAATTCAAATTAAAATCTCATCAGACTCTTGAACAAAGACGAGTTTAAAGTGGCACTGTAGCTAAAGTGGTAGAGCACTCGCCTTGAGGTGAAGAGCTGAGCGACAGCACCCAGGCCCAGAGTTCAAGCCCCATGACTGACGCACACACAAAAAAAGACGTGTTTATTCTATAATGTATATGGAAAAAGCAAATGGTCAAAAGCAGAATGATATGAAAATGTGGAGGTCTTTATATACCTTACTTCAAGACACAGTGTAGAATGCATTAGTGAGTGCACTATGGTGTGTGTGTGTGTATGTGTGTGTGTGTGTGTGTGTGTGTGTGTGTGTGTGTGTGTGTGTGTGTGTGTGTGTGTATGTGTGTGTGTGTGTGTGTGTGTGTGTGTACATGTGTACTGAAAAGATTTTAAAGATCCACATACATATATCATTATTTTAAGATTTTTTTTGTTATAGTTCATTGCATCTAATAGTTTGAAGTTCTAGGTTATGGCAAACAGGTCAAGAATACAGCACCACATAATGTTATATGAAGTCTTTTAAAAAATATTTTTATAGCTGGGCAGCAGTGGCTCACACCTGTAATCCTAGCTACAGTAGAGGCTGAGATCTGAGGATCATGGTTCAAAGCCAGCCCTGGCAAAAAAGTTTCTGTGAGACTCTTATCTCCAGTTAACTACTCAAAAACCCGGAGTGGTGTTGTAGCTCAAGTGGTAGAATGCTAGCCTGGAACCCAACAGCACCCAGGCCTTGAGTTTAAGCCCCACAACATATTTTTTTTATTTTATTTGTGAAGATACTGTACAGAGGGGTTACAATTACATGGGCAGGATAATGCGTACATTTCTTACCAAGCATTGCAGCCTCCTCCTTT